GAGGAAGTGGCTGCAGAGATCCTGCCTCCAGGAAACCCACTTAAAGACAGGCGGGGCGCACCCCCAGCCTCTCTGCCCCTGGAACCAGCTGCACCGAGAGAAGGTGGTGGGGGTCTGGCACGCTCTAGGGGGTGCATAGCGCCTGGTCACAGACAGGCTGCACACTTACATCAGACATTCGCTCTTCCTCGGCAAGAAACACAATTTAAAACTATGAACGTAAACTGCGCCTCGGGTCAGGAGTTCCAGCTTGCCTTGTCCCTCCCTGCCCCTCCCAACTCAGCCCCGCATAAGCCACGTTCTCCTGGGCATCCCCCGATCCAAAGTCTCTCCAGAGTCTTTTTCAGCTAATCACTGGAAGAGAGAACTCTGTGCAAACGGGGCCCGCGGTGGAGGCAGCAGAACCTTCTGTGGGCCACACTCGCTGGACGCCTCCTGGCTCACCGTCCTCATCTGCTGTGGTGACGCCAACGGATTCCTGCCTCCCACCTTCCCTTCTGCCCACCCACCCATCTGGCTTGTTTTGAGAGTCATGTGGGATCCCAAGGAGGAGAAAGCTTCAGAAGGCACAATGTGGCAGAAACACCAAGGTGGGGCACATCCCATGTTCGAGGCACACAAGACCCATCTCCCCAGTCGCAGCCCATCTGAACCTTCACTCTCAGACCCCAGGGCCTGCCGCACGGTGGGTGTATAGTAGCAACTACTAGAGACTGATTGTCGGGGAAATGTTGGGGCCGAACACGAGCCTGGAAGAAATTGGGTCATAAGGCCTAGATTTGGGTCCCAGATCCTCTTTTTACTGGCTGATGACTCTGGGGAAAGACTGCCTCTCTGAGCCTCAGTTTCCCCAGCACGGAAGGCTTGTATCAAGGAATGGCGCCAGGCTGGTGCTCAGTCTACATGGCTGAATCTATCATAAACCATACACATTCAGTCCCCTTGGTGGGCTCCACCTGGTAGCCCCCTGTCTACCAAGAGATGCCTGGGCAGAAAAGGGCAGCCAGGCAAATTGGATCTGGCCAATTTGTTCCCAGATGGGGCTGGGGAACCTTCTGTTAACAGCCTTCCTCCTCCGTCTCCCCCCAGAATTGTACATCCCTCCCCCAGTAGGGTTTAGGGGGGGCTCAGACCAGCCTTGAAGGCCCCCTGCCAAGCTCTTCCGTACCTGAAACAGGCCCCTGTGAAAGGTGGACAACACTCCTTTGCTTCCTCTTGGATTTTCCTTGGACATTTCCTTAAAGATTCGACCCTGGAGGAGGCCTGTACCTCCTCACCCCAGGTGACAAATCTGCATCCTTGTTTCCCCCACTAAGGGAGACAGTCCCTCATCCAGTGCTTTAAAATATGCCCAGAGACCTTCTCCTGATGATGTTACAAACTTTGGTTTGCAATTATGGTTGTACAAAATTTCAAATTATGCCGTTTAACAGTGCTCAGGAATTTCCTAGCTTTCTTTGTGCTGCATTTATAAATATTGGGATGAATAATAAGAGCTTCAATGTCAGCCAGAGACGTGCCCTCGGGGCCATGAGCCCCTGCCAATGCTGGTGACACCTCCATGACTCTCTGAGTGGTTATGTGGCCCCATCACAGGCGACACAAGAGTCTTAGGGAAGGTGTATTCTTGTGTGGCTTGGCCAGCACAGCCCTGGGCCCTGCCTCATGACAATTCTGCTCTCAGCTGTGGCTCTTTGGCCCTGAGCCCTGTATGACAGTGAACTAGGCTTGGGACTAAGGAGTTAGGGCAGCTCTAGGCAGGTTGTGATCAGGGTGCTGAGCACAGAGTGGGCGCCCACTGTATGCCAACAGAAACTAATCAAGTCTCCACTGTGAATGAGGCCAGTCCCCTTCTGTGTTCTTCTCCTGGAGGTGGCTCCCCCTCCTGCAGACCCGGCATGGATGACCCTCAGTCACAGGCAAAAACAGTCATAATAAGCAACGGCCAAGAGTGAGGGCAATTATGGTTCAAATACTGTACCTGGCATGCAAGCCAGAAATCCTGCACACGGATTTGATTTTCCCCTTTTATCCAACCACCTCCGATCCAATCCATCCACAAGTCTGTTCCTCTTTTCCTCCGAATTGTTTCTAGAGGCTTCCACCACTCTCCTACCCTCTTCCACTACCCTGACTGGGCCATGACCTCCCTGTCTCTGAGACACAACCCTCCCAGGCCCCATCCCAGCTCAGTCAGTTGCTCTGTGCACCAGGCAGCTTCCTAAAATGCAGAACTGCAGTAACTATTGACGGGGTTCAGGACACATTACCCCAAAATATGGTATCTTGGTATTTGTGAGAACAGCAGAAGCATGAAGGTCACTCTCACCTCCCCACCTTCTCCCCTGAAGCAGGTCATAAGACCCTCGAACCAGTCATTATACCCAGAGGAAAGGGACATCCTTGTCTCTGAAGACACAGGGACACAGAAGAATCTGAGCAAACAGGCCTTGCTGAGTTCCCCAGTCTGCCGTGAGACCACACTTTTCTATCCGGTCATGCTTCTCCAAGACAGTCCACTCCTTCATCAAACCTAGCATAAGAAGACGAGGCTTCCCTGTTCCTTCAGGTCTTCATTTACTTATTAAGGATCCCACGTCAGGTAAAACTTAAATACATTTTATGTTTTTCTCTTGTGAATCTGTCTTTTGAACCTAGGATGGGTAAGAAAAGATACTTTGCTTCAATCCCTACACTTCTCCGCTTGAAACTCTCCCATGGGGTCCCATCTCTGTCAGGATAAAGTCTAGACTTCTCCCTAGGCTCGCCAAGTTTCTAGGGTGCAGCCCCGGTCCGTCTCCTGCCCTCCCCCTCCCCCACC